GTTGTTAGTAAGGAGTTGTTAGTAAGGAGTTGTTAGTGAGTAAGGAGTTGTTAGTGAATAATGAGTTGTTAGTAAGGAGTTGTTAGTAAGGAGTTGTAAGTAAGGAGTTGTTAGTAAGGAGTTGTTAGTAAGGAGTTGTTAGTGAGGTGTTGTTAGTGAGGTGTTGTTAGTGAGGAGTTGTTAGTGAGGAGTTGTTAGTAAGGAGTTGTTAGTGAGGAGTTGTTAGTGAGTAAGGAGTTGTCAGTGAGGAGTTGTTAGTAATGAGTTGTTAGTCAGGAGTTGTTAGTGAGGAGTTGTTAGTAAGGCGTTGTTAGTGAGGAGTTGTTAGTGGGTAAGGAGTTGTTAGTAAGGAGTTGTTAGTGAGTAAGGAGTTGTTAGTAAGGAGTTGTTAGTGAGGAGTTGTTAGTAAGGAGTTGTTAGTGAGGAGTTGTTAGTGAGTAAGGAGTTGTCAGTGAGGAGTTGTTAGTAATGAGTTGTTAGTCAGGAGTTGTTAGTGAGGAGTTGTTAGTAAGGCGTTGTTAGTGAGGAGTTGTTAGTGGGTAAGGAGTTGTTAGTAAGGAGTTGTTAGTGAGTAAGGAGTTGTTAGTAAGGAGTTGTTAGTGAGGAGTTGTTAGTAAGGAGTTGTTAGTGAGTAAGGAGTTGTCAGTAAGGAGTTGTTAGCGAGGAGTTGTTAGTAAGGAGTTGTTAGTAAGGAGTTGTAAGTGAGGAGTTGTTAGTGAGGAGTTGTTAGTGAGGAGTTGTTAGTGAGGAGTTGTTAGTGAGGAGTTGTTAGTGAGGAGTTGTCAATGAGGAGTTGTTAGTAATGAGTTGTTAGTAATGAGTTGTTAGTAAGGAGTTGTTAGTGAGGAGTTGTTAGTGAGGCGTTGTTAGTGAGGAGTTGTTAGTGGGTAAGGAGTTGTTAGTGAGGACTTGTTAGTAAGGAGTTGTTAAGTGAGGAGTTGTTAGGGAGGAGTTGTTAGTAAGGAATTGTTAGTGAGTAAGGAGTTGTTAGTGAGTAAGGAGTTTGTTAGTGAGGTGTTGTTAGTGAGGAGTTGTTAGTAAGGGGTTGTTAGTGAGGAGTTGTTAGTAAGGAGTTGTTAGTGAGTAAGGAGTTGTTAGTGAGTAAGGAGTTTGTTAGTGAGGAGTTGTTAGTGAGTAAGGAGTTGTTAGTGAGCAAGGAGTTGTTAGTAAGGAGTTGTTAGTGAGGAGTTGTTAGTAAGGAGTTGTTAGTAAGGAGTTGTTAGTGAGTAAGGGGTTGTTAGTGAGGAGTTGTTAGTAAGGAGTTGTTAGTAAGGAGTTGTTAGTGGGTAAGGAGTTGTTAGTAAGGACTTGTTAGTAAGGAGTTGTTAAGTGAGGAGTTGTTAGGGAGGAGTTGTTAGTAAGGAATTGTTAGTGAGTAAGGAGTTGTTAGTGAGTAAGGAGTTTGTTAGTGAGGTGTTGTTAGTGAGGAGTTGTTAGTAAGGGGTTGTTAGTGAGGAGTTGTTAGTAAGGAGTTGTTAGTGAGTAAGGAGTTGTTAGTGAGGAGTTGTTAGTAAGGAGTTGTTAGTAAGAAGGTGTTAGTAAGGAGTTGTTAGTAAGGAGTTGTTAGTAAGGAGTTGTTGGTCAGTAAGGAGTTGATAGTGAGGAGTTGTTAGTGAGGAGTTGTTAGTGAGTAAGGAGTTGTTAGTGAGTAAGGAGTTGTTAGTAAGGAGTTGTTAGTGAGGAGTTGTTAGTAAGGAGTTGTTACTAAGGAGTTGTTAGTGAGTAAGGAGTTGTTAGTAAGGAGTTGTTAGTAAGGACTTGTTAAGTGAGGAGTTGTTAGTGAGGAGTTGTTAGTAAGGAATTGTTAGTGAGTAAGGAGTTGTTAGTGAGTAAGGAGTTTGTTAATGAGGTGTTGTTAGTGATGAGTTGTTAGTAAGGAGTTGTTAGTGAGTAAGGCGTTGTTAGTGAGGAGTTGTTAGTGAGGAGTTGTTAGTAAGGAGTTGTTAGTAAGGTGTTGTTAGTAAGGAGTTGTTAGTGAGGAGTTGTTAATGAGGAGTTGTTAATGAGGAGTTGTAAGTGAGGAGTTGTTAGTGAGGAATTGTTAGTGAGTAAGGAGTTGTTAGTGAGGAGTTAGTAAGGAGTTGTTAGTGAGGAAGGCGTTGTTAGTAAGGAGTTGTTAGTGAGTAAGGACTTGCTCACTAACAACTCCTTACCCCTTACTCACTAACAACTCTTTACTCACTAACAACTCCTTACTTACTAACAACTCACTTACTAACAAGTCCTTACTAACAACTCCTTACTAACAACTCCTTACTCACTAACAACTCCTTACTAACAACTCACTAACAACTCCTTGCTAACAACGCCTTACTAACTACTTACTAACAACTCCTTGCTAACAACGCCTTACTAACTACTCACTAACAACTCCTTACTAACAACTCCTTACTAACAACTCGCTAACAACTCCTTGCTAACAACCCCTTACTAACTACTTACTAACAACTCCTTACTAACAACTCCTTACTAGCCACTCACTAACACCTCCTTGCTAACTACTTACTAACAACTCCTTACTAACGCCTTACCAACAACTACTTACTAACAACGCCTTACCAACTACTCACTAACAACTCCTTACTAACTACTTACTAACAACGCCTTACTAACTACTCGCTAACAACTCCTTACTAACTACTTACTAACAACTCCTTACTAACTCCTTACCAACAACTCCTTACTAACAAGTCCTTACTAACAATTCTTTACTAACAACTCCTTGCTAACTACTTACTAACAACTCCTTACTAACTACTTACTGACCACTCCTTACTAACTAACACGTCCTTACTAGCAACTCCTTACTAGCTACTCCCAACCCTCCCTTCCTATCCCTTGATTTGGATTCCGGTTTTGGATTTGGATTCTGATTTTTAATTCTGGATTTGGATTCTGATTTTTAATTCTGGTTTTGAATTCTGGATTCTGATTTTTAATTCTGGATTTGGATTCTGGATTCTCATTTTTAATTCTGGATTTGGATTCTCATGTTGGAATCTGGATTTGGATTTTGGATTCTGATTGTTAATTCTCATTTTGATTATTATACTTCTCATGACGGTTCTGACGATGATTCTCCCACACACCACCCCACCCACTCCACCCACAACACCACATACAACACGACCCACAACACCACCCACTCCACCCACACCACCCACTCCACCCACACCACCCACTCCACCCACTCCACCCACTCCACTCATCCCACCCACTCCACCCACCCCACCCACTCCACCTACACCACCCACAACACCACCTACAACACGACCCACAACACCACCCACACCACCCACTCCACTCATCCCACCCACTCCACCCACCCCACCCACTCCACCCACACCACCCACAACACCACCCACAACACCACCCACAACACGACCCACAACACCACCCACAACACGACCCACAACACGACCCACAACACCACCCACTCCACCCACACCACTCACAACACCACCCACAACACCACCCACAACACCACTCACAACACCTACAAACACCACTCACCACTCACAACACCACTCACAACACCACTCACCCACACCACTCACCCCACTCACACCACTCACACCACTCACCCCACTCACCTCACTCACCCCACCCACCCCACCCACACCACTCACCACCACCACCACCCCCCCCACCACCACACCCACACCCCACACCCCACACACCACCCCACCACTCACCCCCCACCACTCAACCGACACACACCACCCACTCTACCCACACCACCCACAACACCTACAACACCACCCACAACACCACCCACCCCACCCACAACACCACTCACTCCACCCACACCCCCCACTCACACCACCCCACTCACCACTCACCCCACCCACACCTCACACCACTCACCCCACTCACACCACTCACACCACCACCACTCACCCCACTCACCACTCACCCCACCCACACCTCACACCACTCACCCCACACACCACCAACACCACCGCCACTCACACCACCACCAACACCACCACCACCACACACACCACCACCACCACCGCCACTCACACCACCACCACCACCACCACCACCCACACCACCCACACCACCCACACCACCCACACCACCCACACCACACCCCACACACCACTCACCCCCCCACCACCACACCCACACCACACCCCACACACCACCCCACCACTCACCCCCCACCACTCAACCGACACACACCACCCACTCCACCCACACCACCCACAACACCTACAACACCACCCACAACACCACCCACAACACCACCCACAACACCACCCACAACACCACTCACTACCAACCCACACCACTCACCCCACCACCACTCACTCCACCCACACCACTCACCCCACCCACACCTCACACCACTCACCACACACACCACCAACACCACCACCACACCCACACCTCACACCACTCACCCCACACACCACCAACACCACCACCACCACCCACACCCCACACCCCACCAACACCACCGCCACTCACACCACCACCACCACCACCACCCACACCACCCACACCCCACTCACACCACCCACTCCACCCACACCACTCACCCCACTCACACCACTCACACTACCACCACCTACACCACCCCACACCACCACCGCCACTCACCCCACCAACACCACCGCCACTCACACCACCACCACCATCACCACCCACACCACCCACACCCCACTCACACCACCCACTCCACCCACACCACTCACACCACTCACACCACCACCACCCACACCACCCACACCACCCCACACCACACCGCCACTCACCCCACCAACACCACCACCACCACCACACCACCAACACCACCGCCACTCACCCCACCACCACCACCCACACCACCCACACCCCACTCACACCACCCACACCCCACACACCACCACCGCCACTCACACCACCCACACCCCCCCCCCACACCCCCCACCCCCCACCCCCCCCCCACCCCCCCCACCCCCCACCCCCCACCCCACCCCCCACCCACCCACCACCCCCCCCCACCAACCCAGACAATGGCCAGCACCGGCCTCCAGCTCCTCGGCGTCTCCATGGGCGTCATCGGCCTCCTGGGCGCTGTCGTTTGCTGCGCCCTGCCCATGTGGCGGGTGTCCGCCTTCATCGGCAACAACATCGTGGTGGCTCAGACCGTCTGGGAGGGCCTCTGGATGAACTGCGTGGTCCAGAGCACGGGCCAGATGCAGTGCAAGGTCTACGACTCGATGCTGGCCCTGGGGCAGGACCTGCAGGCCGCGAGAGCCCTGACGGTGGTGGCCGTGGTCTCGGCCGCGGCGGCCCTCCTCGTGGCCATCGCGGGGGCCAAGTGCACCACGTGCATCGAGGAGGAGGAGACCAAGGCGCGCGTGTCGATAGCGGCGGGCGCGGGATTCGTGCTGGCGGGCCTCCTGGAGCTCGTGCCCGTGTCCTGGTCGGCCAACTCGGTCGTCCGCGACTTCTACAACCCGCTGGTGCCCGACTCGACCAAGCGCGAGATCGGCGCCGCCATGTTCATCGGCTGGGCCGCGGCCACGCTGCTTGTGCTCGGCGGGGCGCTGCTCTGCTGCTCGTGCCCGCCCAAGCAGAGGAAATACGCGGCGCCGCCGAAAGGGGGCGGTGGAGGAGGAGGCGGTGGTGGAGGTGGAGGCGGTGGTGCACCGCGGAGTAATTATGTTTAGTTGTGGGGTGGTGGTGAAGGTTGGTGGTGAGGGTGGAGGTGGTGGTGGTGGTGGTGGTGGTGAAGGTTGAGGTGGTGGAGGTGGTGGTGGAGGTGGCGGCGCCGCCGAAAGGGGGCGGAGGAGGCAGTGGTGGAGGCGGTGGTGCACCGCGGAGTAATTATGTTTAGTTGTGGGGGTGGTGAAGGTGGAGGTGGTGGTGAGGGTGGAGGTGGTGGTGGTGGTGGTAGTGAAGGTGGTGGTGGAGGTGGTGAAGGTGGTGGTGGAGGTGGTGGCGCCGCCGAAAGGGGGCGGTGGCGGAGGAGGCAGTGGTGGAGGCGGTGGTGCGCCGCGGAGTAATTATGTTTAGTTGTGGGGTGGTTGGTGGTGAGGGTGGTGGTGGTGAAGGTTGAGGTGGTGGAGGTGGTGGTGGTGGTGGTGAGGGTGGTGAAGGTTGAGGTGGTGGAGGTGGTGGTGGAGGTGGTGGCGCCGCCGAAAGGGGGCGGTGGCGGAGGAGGCAGTGGTGGAGGCGGTGGTGCACCGCGGAGTAATTATGTTTAGTTGTGGGGGGGGTGTTGTTGGTTGGTGGTGGTGAAGGTGGTGGTGGTGGTGGTGGTGGTGGTGGTGAGGGTGGTGAAGGTTGAGGTGGTGGAGGTGGTGGTGGAGGTGGTGGCGCCGCCGAAAGGGGGCGGAGGAGGCAGTGGTGGAGGTGGAGGCGGTGGTGCACCGCGGAGTAATTATGTTTAGTTGTGGGGTGGTTGTGGTGAAGGTGGTGGTGAAGGTGGTGGTGGTGGTGGTGAAGGTGGTGGTGGTGGTGGTGGAGGTGGTGAAGGTGGTGGAGGTGGTGGTGGAGGTGGTGGCGCCGCCGAAAGGGGGCGGAGGAGGCAGTGGTGGAGGTGGAGGCGGTGGTGCACCGCGGAGTAATTATGTTTAGTTGTGGGAGGGTGGTGAAGGTTGGTGGTGAGGGTGGAGGTGGTGGTGGTGAAGGTGGTGAAGGTGGTGGAGGTGGTGGTGGAGGTGGTGGCGCCGCCGAAAGGGGGCGGCGGCGGAGGAGGAGGAGGCGGTGGTGGAGGCGGTGGTGCACCGCGGAGTAATTATGTTTAGTTGTGGGGTGGTGAAGGTGGAGGTGGTGGTGAAGGTGGTGGTGGAGGTGGTGGTGGTGGTGGTGAGGGTGGTGGTGGTGGTGGAGGTGGTGGTGAAGGTTGAGGTGGTGGTGGTGGAGGTGGTGGTGGTAAAGGTGGTGGTGGTGAAGGTGGTGGTGGTGACGATGGTGGTGGTGGTGACGATGGTGGTGGTGGTGAAGGTGGTGGTGGTGACGATGGTGGTGGTGGTGACGATGGTGGTGGTGGTGAAGGTGGTGGTGGTGAAGGTGGTGGTGGAGGTGGTGGAGGTGGTGGAGGTGGTGGTGGAGGTGATGGCGCCGCCAAAAGGGGGCGGCGGCGGAGGCGGAGGAGGCAGTGGAGGCGGTGGTGCACCGCGGAGTAATTATGTTTAGTTGTGGGGTGGGTGAAGGTTGGTGGTGGAGGTGGTGGAGGTTGAGGTGGAGGAGGTGGTGGTGGTGATGGTGGTGGTGGAGGTGGTGGTGATGGTGGTGGTGGTGAAGGTGGTGGTGGTGGAGGCAGTGGTGGTGGTGGTGGCGGTGGAGAAGGTGAAGGTGGAGGTGGTGGTGATGGTGGAGGTGGTGGTGGAGATGGTGATGGTGGTGGTGATGGTGGTGGTGGTGGTAACAACGCGATATTGTAATTCACGGTATTTAGGTGGTGGTGACGGTGGTGTAAGTGTGATATTGTTACACATAGTAGCTGGAATTGTAGTGGTGGTGATGGTGGTGGTGAAGGTGGTGGTGGTGGTAACAACGCGATATTGTAATGCATAGTACTTAGAATTGTAGTGGTGGTGGCAATTGTTGTAATGCAAAGTGCATCGTTATAATCATTTAAGTGTTTGTGATGGAGATGGTGGTGGTGGTGGTGGTTGATTGAGATGGTGGTGGTGGTGGTGGTTGATTGAGATGGTGGTGGTGGTAACTCATGGTGAACTATGATCTTATAATCACCACCACCACCACACCACCATCATCACCATCAACACGAAACTCACCATCACCACCAGAAGCTGCAGGTGGATACTAGTCATTTCAGTGAGTCTGTGGGTCTCTGTGTGGTGAGTCTGTGGGTCTCTGTGTGGTGAGTCTGTGGGTCTCTGTGTGGTGAGTCTGTGGGTCTCTGTGTGAGTGAATCTGTGGGTCTCTGTGTGGTGAGTCTGTGGGTCTCTGTGTGGTGAGTCTGTGGGTCTCTGTGTGAGTGAGTCTATGGGTCTCTGTGTGATGAGTCTGTGGGTCTCTGTGTGGTGAATCTGTGAGTCTCTGTGTGTGGTGAGTGTGTGGGTCTCTGTGTGGTGAGTCTGTGTGTCTCTGTGTGATGAGTCTGTGGGTCTCTGTGTGGTGAGTCTAGGTGTCTCTGTGTGGTGAGTGTGTGGGTCTCTGTGTGAGTGAGTCTGTGGGTCTCTGTGTGGTGAGTCTGTGGGTCTCTGTGTGAGTGAGTCTGTGGGTCTCTGTGTGGTGAGTCTGTGGGTCTCTGTGTGGTGAGTCTGTGGGTCTCGGTGTGGTGAGTCTGTGGGTCTCTGTGTGGTGAGTCTGTGGGTCTCTGTGTGAGTGAGTCTGTGGGTCTCTGTGTGGTGAGTGTGTGGGTCTCTGTGTGGTGAGTCTGTGGGTCTCTGTGTGGTGAGTCTGTGGGTCTCTGTGTGAGTGAGTCTGTGGGTCTCTGTGTGAGTGAGTCTGTGGGTCTCTGTGTGGTGAGTCTGTGGGTCTCTGTGTGGTGAGTCTGTGGGTCTCTGTGTGAGTGAGTCTGTGGGTCTCTGTGTGGTGAGTGTGTGGGTCTCTGTGTGGTGAGTCTGTGGGTCTCTGTGTGGTGAGTCTGTGGGTCTCTGTGTGAGTGAGTCTGTGGGTCTCGGTGTGGTGAGTCTGTGGGTCTCTGTGTGGTGAGTCTGTGGGTCTCTGTGTGGTGAGTCTGTGGGTCTCTGTGTGGTGAGTCTGTGGGTATCTGTGTGGTGAGTCTGTGGGTATCTGTGTGGTGAGTCTGTGTGTCTCTGTGTGAGTCTCTGTGTGAGTCTGTGTGTCTCTGTGTGAGTCTGTGGGTCTCTGTATGAGTCTGTGGGTATCTGTGTGAGTCTGGGTCTCTGTGTGGGTCTCTGTGTGAGTCTGTGGGTCTCTGTGTGAGTCTGTGTGAGTCTGTGGGTCTGTGTGTGAGTCTCTGTGTGAGTCTATGTGAGTCTGTGGGTCTCTTGTGTGAGTCTCTGTGTGAGTCTGTGTGAGTCTGTGGGTGTCTCTGTGTGAGTCTATGTGTGAGTCTGTGGGTCTCTGTGTGAGTCTGTGTGAGTCTGTGAGTCTCTGTGTGAGTCTGTGGGTCTCTGTGTGAGTCTGTGTGAGTCTGTGGGTCTGTGTGTGAGTCTCTTTGTGAGTCTATGGGTCTCTGTGTGAGTCTCTGTGTGAGTCTGTGGGTCTCTGTGTGAGTCTGTGTGAGTCTGTGGGTCTGTGTGTGAGTCTTTGTGTGAGTCTGTGTGGTGAGTCTGTGTGTCTCTTGTGTGAGTCTGTGTGAGTCTGTGTGAGTCTGTGGGTCTCTGTGTGAGTCTGTGTGAGTCTGTGTGTGAGTCTCTGTGTGAGTGCGAGGGGGAGAGAGGGGGAGGAGGGAGAGTGGGGGAGGAGGGAGAGTTTGTAGGGCGTGGTGAGGCGAATCGCTTGGCTACATTCCACACTCTCCTCGCCCATAGAAACACACAGATATACATAGAGATACATAGATATACACAGAGACCCACAGAGATACATAGAGACCCACAGAGATACATAGAGACCCATAGATATACACACAGACCCACAGATATACATAGAGACCCATAGAGATACACAGAGACTCACAGAGATACATAGAGACACAGAGATACATAGAGATACATAGAGACCCACAGAAATACATAGAGACCCACAGAGATACACAGATATACATAGAGACCCACAGAAATACATAGAGACCCACAGAGATACATATAGACCCACAGAGATACATAGAGACCCACAGAGATACATAGAAACACACAGAGATACATAGAGACCCACAGAGATACATAGAGACCCACAGAGATACATAGAGACCCACAGAGATACATAGAGACCCACAGATATACATAGAGACCCACAGAGATACATAGAGACCCACAGAGATACATAGAGACCCATAGAGATACATAGAGACACATAGAGATACATAGAGACACATAGAGATACATAGAAACCCACAGAGATACATAGAGACACATAGAGACACATAGAGATACATAGAGACCCCCAGAGATACATAGAGACCCACAGAGATACATAGAGACCCACAGAGATACATAGAGACCCACAGATATACACAGAGACCCACAGAGATACATAGAGACACAGATACACACAGAGACCCACAGAGATACATAGAGACCCACAGAGATACATAGAGACCCACAGAGATACATAGAAACACACAGAGATACACAGAGACCCACAGAGATACATAGAGACCCACAGAGATACATAGAGACCCACAGAGATACATAGAAACCCACAGAGATACATAGAGACCCATAGAGATACACAGAGATTCGCCCATAGAGATTTTTAGAGACACATGGAGATTCATTGATACAATACTCATAGTACCTCTAGAAATCCATAGACACCCATAGATAAACATAGAGACCCCTAGATTCATAGACACCCCTAGATTCATAGACACCCCTAGACCCATAGAGACCCATAGACACCCATAGATTCATAGATACCCCTAGATTCATAGATACCCCTAGATTCATAGATACCCATAGACACCCATAGAGACCCATAGACACCCCTAGATTCATAGATACCCATAGACACCCATAGATACCCATAGACACCCCTAGATTCATAGACACCCATAGAGATCTATAGAGACCCATAGATACCCCTAGATTCATAGAGACCCTTAGATACCCCTAGAGATTAATAGATACCCCTAGATACCTCTAGATACCCCTAGAGATTCATGGAGACCCTTAGATACCCCTAGATACCCCTAGAG